TTGGTCGTAGGCCTATACTTTTCATCACTTTGAATATTTTGTGCCATTCTTTTCTGGCCTGTGAAATTTCTGTTGGAAAATTGGCTGATAGTGTTAAGAGAGCTCGCTTGTATGTAACTAACTGCTTTTCTCTTCCTACTTTTAAGATTCTATTTGTCTTTAACCTATGGCGTTTTCATGATGACGTGTCTTCTTGTAGGCTTCTTTGGGTTCATCTCATTTGGAACTCTCTGCACTTCCTGGGCTTGTATGTCTGTTTCCTCTGCCATAGTAGGGAAATTTGCAGTCATTATTTCTTCAAATAGGCTTTCAATTCCTTGTTCTCTCTTCTTCTTCTGGTACACCTATGATACGAATGTTGTCATACTTGATGTTGTCCCCAAGGTCCCTTACACTATTCTCATTTTTCACAATTCTTTTGTTGTTGTTCTGATTGGACGTTTTATGCTACTTTGTTTTCCAAATCACTGATTTAATCTTCTGTTTCCTCTAATCTGCTGTCGATTCCCTCTAATGTGTTCTTCATTTCAGTTACTCTTCATTTCTGACTGGTTTATTTTAATGATTTCTATCGCTTTGTCGAAGTTCTCACTGAGGTCATCTCTTCTTCTCCTAAGTTCATTGTCCATTCTATGACCAATATTTTGAACTCTGCATCTGGTAGTTTGCTTTTCTCCATTTTGTTTAGTTTTTTTTTGTTGTTGTTGTTGTTTTTCTCTCTGGAGTTTTGTCCTGTTCTTTCATTTGGGACATGTTTCACTTGGACCTTTGGCTGCCTCCCTGTGTTTGTTTCTATGTATGAGGTAGATCTGTTCCATCTCCCAATCTTGGCAGAGTGACCTTATGTAGTAGATGTCCTGCGGGTCCCAGTGGTGCAGTCTCCTTATTCACCTGAGCTGGTTTTTCCAGGTGTGTCACTTTTGCGGGTCGTGTGTACCCTCCTGTTATCGTTGAGTCTTGATTGCTGTTGGCATGTCAGTGGGTGGGACTGACTCAGGCTGACTGCCTGTGAGGGCAGGCCATGACTACAGTGGACAAGCTCTTATACAGGGGCTGATCCTACAGAGCTGGAGTCACTTTAGCAGGGCTCTGGTGCCAGCCAAGTTTGCCCTTTGGGTGTGTCATCTGTGGAGCCGGTTGTTTAGCAATCTGGTGTGGTCAGAAGCCAGTCACTGGGTGTGCTGGTTCCGGAGCTTCTTAGGAGGGACTCGGGTGCAGGCCAGTATCAGCTGCCATTTGTGCCCAGCTTGGGGTCACCTGTTGGGTGCTACAAAGTGACCTGCAGTTGGTTGTTGCTTGTGCTTGGGAGAGGCTATGCTGTGAACTGAGGCTGGCCACCACTAGTGTCAGGCTTAGGACCCTTTGGTGGGCACCACAGTGTGAGCTAAGGCCAGCTGCCTCTTGCGTGGGGCATTGGCCACTTAATTGAAGCTACATTCCAAGCCAACAATGGCTGCAGCTAATCTCAGGCTTGGGGCCAACTGATGGGAGTTACAATTCATGTTGAGAATAGTCACTGCTTGTGTGGGGCTTGGGGCCTCTTAGCAAGAGATATAAGACATGCCGAGGACATCCATTGCTCGTTTGGGGCTTGTGGACTTGACAGATTTTAGAAAAGTCCACAACATGAGCCAAGGCAGGCTGCTTGGGTGGAAAAGCTGCTGGAAGTGGCTCACATGAGCACTCAAGTTGGATGTGGTGGGGTGTCAGCAATCACCAGGGCAGGGCTGTTGGTATTAGCCAGGTTGATGGAGAGCAGAGATTTGGCACCTGCCAGAGCCTGCCAGCTGGGTGGAAGTAGGTCTCAACAAAGGAACAGTGGTGCCAGCAGTGCTTCCATCCCCAGAGAGAGCTGCCCCAACCCCTGCCCCTCCAGCCCTTGCTCTTAAGCCAGACAACTCAGTTTCTCTTCATACATCCCTGGCACTTTTTGAGCTACTGCCCCAGTGCTGGAACTCAGAGCATGTACGTCTGTCAGTGAGGGAGTCTGTGTGTGGGGTCCCTCAAGTGAAATGCCTGGGATTCCAGTAGCCCTCCATATGTAATTCCCACTGGTTTTCATAGCCAGAAGTTATAGGGATACCTATTCCTGACACTGGTGCCTTGGGCTGTGGAGCTCAGTGTGGGGCTGGGACCCCTTGTTCTTCAGAGGGGACCTTGATAGCTGAGACATCGCTCCCAATTTTTAACCACATGTGGGTGTGGGGCCAGCCTGTTCCATCTCTGCTTTTCCTACCAGCCTCGATCTGGCTGCTTCTGTATGTTGTTAGTTATAAGATTTCTGTTCAGCTACACTTCAAGTAGTTCTCAAGGGTGATTGTTCTATAATTTAGTTGTAGTTTTGATGTGGCCATGGAAAGAGGTGAGTACAGCATTTATCTACCCTGCTGTCTTGACTGGAAGTACAACTGTCACGTTTAAAGGCAGCATACTTTTTTTTTAAGTTGGCAAAACATACCATAAAGTATTTGATTAATCTGCTTTTGGTATGAGCATTTAGATTGAGCCCAGTTTTTAAGTTATTATAAAGAATGCAAAGGTGAACACATTTATGTATTCATCTTTTTGTACCTGCTGGATTTATTTTTCAGGATAATTTCCTACTGAGTGGGATTCCTGAACTTTTCAAGTAAACTTTTTGTCGTGGTGTGACATGCATACAGAAAACAGTACACCACTCATAAGTGCACTGTTCCATGAGCTTTTTGAGAACACATCAGGGTAACCTGCACCTGGATCAAGAAATTGAATATTCCCAGTACCCAGAAGCCACCTCATGCCCCATCCAAATTACTATCCCCCGTCAAGGACAACTACTACCTTGACTTTTTAAAAAATTAAGACATTATTATTATTTTTTAAAAAATTAGTTATTATTAGAGCAGTGTTAGGGTCACAGTAAAATTCAGGGGAAGGCTCAGAGATGTTCCATATACCTCCTGCCCCGACACGTGCACAGTCTCCCCCATTATCAACATCCCCGACCAGAGTTTTGTTACGATCAAAAACCTGCATCGACACATCATTATCACCCACTCTTGGTGTGGGTTTGGACAAACGTAAATGGCATGTATCCATAGTTATGGTATCATGCAAAGTAGTCACTCCCCCTAAAAGTCCTTTGTGCTCAGCCTGCTCATCCCTTGCTTCCCAGCACCTGACAACCAATGATCTTGTTACGGTCTCCATAGTTTTGCATTTTCCAAGATGTCATATAGTTGGAATCGTTAGCATGGAGCCTTTCTATCCTGGCTTTTAACAGTGTAGATGAGTTTTGCCTGCTTTTGACCTTTATGTAAATGGAATCGTGAAGTATGTGCTCTTTCATGTCTAGCTTCCTTTTGTTATTATGTTTTTGAAACTCACCCAACTTATTGCACATATCGTTTGTTGTGTTCATTGCTGTATACTATGCCATTGTTTGAATATAGCACACTTTAACACTTTATCCTGCCGTCGCTGGGCATTCGGGTAGTTTTCTGCGTAGGGCTATTCAAATCTTGCTGCCACAGATATTCTTGTACACATCTTCTGGTGAGCACAAGTCACATTTCCGTTGGATATGACCCTAGCAGTGGAATTGCCAGGCCATCAAGTATACGGATGTCTTTGCTGACATACACGTGATGTAAATGGCCATATTTACTCCAGAAAGGTGATAATTGCCCCTGGTGGTTATCTAACCTTCACATGTGTCAGCTTCTACATCTGTAACACGGGAGTACAACACCCCCCACCCCAGATGTTAAGAGGAAGAGGAGCTAGTGCGTGGGGAGAGGCATCCAGCACACAGTGAACCCTGAGTACCAGTTCGCAGTCATAACGAATATTTTCTAGCAAACTGCATCCTCTAGGGAGGCATGAGAATTCAGAGCTGCAGTTTTTCGAAGGGATCACAGCTTGAGCCTGAGGCCAAAAAAATGAATATGCGATAAGGTGACCAGTTGGCCTCAGGAATGAGCTACGTCTGGAACAAGAGGAGAAAGAGTTCTTAAGAGATGGGAAACGCTGGGAGGATGGTGGTGGGAGGTAGCAGTCCTCCAGCCCAGCCACCGCTTTGGAAAGTTTTGCCTGCACTGTATCTGGTCCCCAGGACACTGACCTAAAGGCCTTGAACACAAGGATATTCTGAGAAACGAGCTGCCACTTATCAGCTGTGTGATCGTGAGCACTCTCTGAGACGCAGTTTTCAAATTACAAGTGGAGAAAGAAATATTCACTTACAGGGTGGTTTTGAGGGTGAAGTGAAAAGGTGAGTGTACATGTTTGCTCTCGTGCGTTTCATAAAGTAAACACTCATGTGTGGGCGGAACCCACAAGTTCCAATCTTAGCTATGTAAGAAACATGGCCCATAGACAAAAATGGTTATTTAAAAAAAACCCCAAAACTCTCGTACTGAGATTTTCTCAGTTTTAGGTTATTGGGAGAATCTTAATACATTGTCCACAGCAGCGGTTATCAAAATTCTACTTCCACTTCCCTCGTTCCACCGGATTCCTCATACATTTGTCGCTACAGGTCTCACGTCACTTCCAGCACTGGCCTGAATCACTTTTGCTCCTTTCCTATTCCTCTGTCTCTTAATTTGTGACTACACAGAGCCCTTTGCTCGGCTGGGGGAGGACCCATCATCAGGACCGGGAGAGGAGAACGTCAGACAAGTGGACGTGATCTCCTTAGTGGGCTGCGGGAGGAGAAAATGACCTGGTTCACGGTCGTCCTGTCCCGCGAGCTGGCGATATTAGTTATAGTTGTATTATTGCCAAGGGGGTCAGGACGAACGACCCAGAGCTGCATTACCAGGAAGAATGGGAAGTTTGCTTCCTCATCTGGGGCTCAGGTTTGCCGTGGTGGGAGATGGCACAAGAACGGATGGATGGAAAGAGGAGGGTGGGGAGGAGGCTCCAGGCTTTCTTTGGATTCAGGCTCCCTGAATCCAGGGTTAGTGGTCAGCGATGTCTTTCTCACTCATGTTCTCTTTCTTTGTCTTACTTTGCAGTCTCTTCAGACCAGATCGAGCAGCTGCACCGGAGGTTTAAGCAGCTGAGTGGAGACCAGCCTACTATCCGGTAAGATCGTTAGCTGGGTTTGGGCGTTGGGCAGGTCCCGGCTCTTGGGGATTTCTCTTTCCGTTTATCTGTCCCTGGGTGCGGGGTAGTTGTGGAGGAGCCCATTTTTGGAGGCAGACCTGTAGTTATTTTATTCTCATAATTCTAGAAAAGATATTCTCAACTAAAAGAGCTGCGCCTGCTGCTACTGGGATCAGAAAATTAGAACTAGAGTGAAGCCAAGGGGTGTGGGGATGAAGAGCTAGCCAGCCACCCCTGCCTTCCTCAAATGGAACATGCCTTGGAATTCCAGACACATGTCGAGGACCTGTTAAGTGCCAGGGTCGTGCTCATTGCTGGGTACCCAAAGATGAACAAACTGTGATGCAGCCCAGTTTAGGGGCTCAGATGTTGTTATGAGGCTCCATCTCGTGACCCTGCTTCCTCTGGGTTGTTAGTTCCAATCTCGGTTAAGATGGCAGGTGGCAGCCTCAGATTTCTGTCAAGGAAACTCACCATTCTACATTGCATCTTTTAGAAGCTGCGTAGGTTACTTTTTTATGAGGAGGAATGCCTTGACCTGGGTTCCTTCTTTTAGGAGGTTGGGTTCAGTCTTAGATGGTGGTCAAGTTTTCTTGGAACCAGGTTAGTGAGAGGTCCTAGTTAGCATGTCGATCAAAGTTGGTGAGGGAGCTTTGAGGCAAACTATAGCAAGCAGAGTTTCCAATATACAGTGAATACCGTTCTACCAGAAACTTTCTAACGGATGTAGTTTCCTAAAATAAACATTCAGAGCCTCAAAGTTACAGTCTTGGAAATTTTAAAAGAAACTTTTCCATAGTCCAGGAAAACTTCTTTCTTCTTAGTGCACAGACTTAAATTTCACTAAGATTCCTAGAAACCGATATGTAAATATCTACTTTCCTCTGTCTTTTCTGAACGAAGGCGTGTTGTTAATCCAGTGCATCCATTTCCAGAGCTTAGGTTCTGGTGGTCTCAAGGTTCTTGTGGTCTCCAGCCTCAGTTTAATTGTATCTAAGACAGACTTAAAGACAGTCAGGACTTGCACCTTTAATTCTGTGCATCTCACTTGCTAAGACCGGTGAAGGAGAGAGCAGAGCCCAGCAAAAGGTCACCTGACTTCTTATGGGCTCGGTTGGGGTCACATGACCAAGTCCGAGCCCATCGCCATGGCAGGGGCTAGAAATGCAAATTGGTTTTCCCCCAGAGCTGTGAGGGGTTGGGCTGGGTCATCAGCCAAGGGCAGGGATGGGGTTGGAGTGGTTTCTCAGGGCAAGGTGGGCCCCTTGGGGCATGGGCTGAGGAGTGAGCGAAGGGCGGGAACACCTCAGCAGGGCACCTTGAGGTCTAATGAGCAGTGACACCTCTGCACGCCGGATATTGGAACATGGAAATGTCAAGGACGTTATTCCTTCAGAAATTCATGGACACGTGCTCCGTGCCAGGTGCTCAGTTCTTATGCTGTTGGACCCGACCACCATGCAGCTCACAGTTGGGAAGGTGTCAGGGTGGGGCCCACTTTCTCAAGATAACTTTCCAGCACGCTGCCCTCAGCCCTGTGACAAGCCGCCTTGGGCTCCTCGCTGTTATAGGTCTGTGGGTCTCGGCAGGTGAGCAGCTTCGGGTTCCAATTCCACGCGCGTTTAATTTTCAGACTCGGGGGAAGCAGAGGCAAAAACTCAGACTTGAGAACAAGTCATAGTTGAACCGTCTGTGTCACTGGCTGTGACTGTGGATTAGTTGCTGTTTCCCTGAGCTTGTCTCATTCGTAAAGTGAGTCTCAGGTGAGCATGATCGTTTGGGACTAGATGTGAGGTGTGTGTGGGACCATCCTGCTTTGAGCTGGGTTTGTTGGCATTTGGCAGACTGGCTGGCATCATTCTACCAGTTTGTGGGGTCACAAGGACCCCCCTTTGAAATGCCCAAGTCTGTCACTGGGGTGGGGGTGGAGTTGGGGAGCACAGGCACTGCGGGAAGAGGAGGCCCCCCACTTTGGAGTTCTAGCATCTGAGTCCTGACGGTGTCATCCAGCAGCCCCTCAGGATCCCTCGCAAGGACTTAGTGAAACAGTGTCCTCTTCACGGCTTCTGTCCAACTTAGTGTGCACGCAGATAACCTGGGAGTCTGCTAAAATGCGGGTTTGGCTCCAGCGGGTCTGGGGTGGGGCTCGAGATTCTGCGTTTCTGACGAGCACAAATGCTGCAAATCCCTTGTCCTGAGACCCCGGGGTGTCGAGCTCAGTGCTTGGAGCATCTGCTGCTTCAGCAAATGCTGCTTCGTTTCTGTCCCCCACCAGCCAGCCCCAACGCCACCCCAGCCTCAGCTGTCAGGCACTGCAGCATCCCCTCCCTGTCCTCAAGCCCGTCGCCTCCTGCCTTTTCACACACCTGTCCTGTCTAAATCCAACACATCTGGTGGGTCTCAGCAAGAACGTCTGTCCTAATCTCTCACCCCTCGCCCCCTTTTTCTCTGTGGCAGTCATAGCATTTGTTGTTCCATCAGGTGCCCTGAACATCTGTTTCTGCCTCCCCAGCCGGACGGCGAGCACGTGTGTGTGTGTGTGTGTGTTTGGGAGGGGGGGTCATCTGGAAACCTTGTTAAAACACAGGTTTTGATTCAGTCTGGAGTGGGGCCTGGGACTCTGCATTCCTAACCAGGGAGAAGGGTTTCGGTCAGGTTGGCCTCGCCCAGCACCGAGAATGGTGCCCAGTGGGCCCTCCAGGCCCAGGCGGGTGGAGGCTGCATCCCATCGGGTGCCGAGCCACCCATTGCAGGCTCCTGCTAGGAGGCTCCTGTCAGCTGCACACTGCCAGCCTGCCGGCCTGGAGGAAGGAAGTGGACTGACCACAGCGACTTGTGCAAACGGGCCTGCAGGAAGGGCCTCCTCCTAGGCTCCCGGAACTGCTTTGCCTAATTCTAATCCTCCCTCCGGGGCCTGGAGAAGGGAGATGGGGCAGCTCTTGGGGTGCCCCAGGCTTTCCTGTCCAACTTCTCAGGACAGGAGTGAGCAGCTGTGGACTGCGATCCGGTCCCCAGTGCTGTTCCCCCTCTGCCAAGGGCTTCTGAGTGGCCCCAGGCCAGGCCTTCAGCCTCTCTGATCCCTGGGCTATGCTGGGGTTTTG